TTGTGAATTACTTGTTAGGTCACATGATTCAATGAAGAGAAATTGGTTTCTATGTCTTCAGTATATCAATTTGATCTATTCACACAACAACTGGAGTTTTGTACAAAAGCATAGTAGGGTATTTTGAAAACAACTTTTTGCAAAGGATAGTAATAATAATAATACCCCGGTAGTAATAAGACTATTCGATGTTCAATCCTAATGCCATCTGTCTGTTCCACTGATATCTCAAGAAGCACATGTTGCTTTCTGATGAAGCTTTATGCATAAATGCTGTGGGCTAATGCACATAATTGATTAAGTTTTGGTAGAAATCAAAATCAATAACTGTCCATTCCAAAATGGGGAAACGGGTTGGTGGGCATTTCACAGGCACTTTAAAATCACAAGTTACACTGTTCGTCTGAGATGATTTCTATAGCTTTTTTGGAATTTTCTTGTGATATATTACAAGATCTAAATTGTGTGAAGTAATTTAGGATTCGGCTCGCAGTAATTCAAAACAGGTTTTTATGATTCAATTCACAATGGAACATTATTCAGAGGCACCAGGAATGGAAAATTCAAACGACAAAATGGAAAACGGTCTCCAACATTTAGAGCCTGAAAAGTAATCATTTTCCACAATTCAAGTAAATTCATTTCATCACGGTTTACCAAATGATAAATTAACATTGGTGATAAAGTGAATACTGGTACATAAACAAATATCTCGTAGCTTTAGATGTAGGACACAAAACAGGTGCCAGTGAAACAGCCATGGAACTTGTTTTTGCCTGTCAATATTGTTCTATTCTCTTGTTCTTTCCAATGAGAATTCAAGTGACTACTTTTAATTGGTATAATTTCAAAAATATTCTCAGAGTCTGACTCGCTTGTCACCTTGCACCCACCTGTCAAGTACAAAATGATTTGTAATGAAAAGATTTATGCAAGGATTTTTAGTATCACTAAAACGTGTTCTAGATATGCCTGGACCGATTACATTAACCTTTTCACTAATAGACTTTCTAGTCTAAATTTTTCTTCACTTTTTTCTTATATTCAATATTTCTGGAAATGAATCTCTAATTTTAGAGCCAACAGGCAAAATTTGAGTAAATTTTCAGTTTTTACCTCAAAAATTGGCTATTTTTGTCACAACTTTCATAAAAGAAGAGCAAATTTAACAAGGACTATTTTGTGAATTTGTGACAAAAAGAAGGTGGTGGTGGTGGTGGTGGTGAAAAGGTTGACACTTCATACTACACACTTACATTTGTATACTGTCACTGCCATATTGTTCCAAATAGCAACAATGATAGCTAATTCTAGAGATTGTTACAGATGGTAGCAACAAAATTATGCAAGAATATTTTGATTCAAAATATCTTAGTATATTTGCATATTGATTACTATTCCAATTGTATATTTGTATCCAGTAATAGTTTGATGAGCCATTTTGTTAAAAAAAATAGAATATGCAAATATGCAACAAATTGCACCAAATAGTGTGCTGGCTGCATTGTTTAATGTGGGCTGATACATATTGGAGGCATAATGCGAGACTACAATTTTTTGCTTTTATGATGTACATTTTATTGCATTACTAACTAGTATATATTGCTTATAATTTTTCATAAATATTTACATAGGAAATGAACCACAATAACAACTTGTACAGTAAAACACGAGTTGAAAGCTATAATAGCATGCCTGCATTGTTAAAAAAAAAAGCTCATTCTAAAAATAATTGCTTGCATCAATAAGATTCTTTACGCTGTTCACAATATTTTTCAGTTTTTAAGTACATTTAGATGAGCTGTTGCCATGTGGGTTCCAGAATATCATAATTCTGATATATAAATATGTTCATAAATAAAATGTTTTTATTTAAATTATTAACTTTTTATTTGGGACTAATACAAGAATTGACTCCAAACTATACAGAAGGGAGGATAATTTCAGAGCACATAAATACACCAAAGTTGACTGCATATTGGGATTGATATCTGTGAAAAGCTAAAAATAATTGGTCAATTTAAGTAGATTAAAGCGGTAATAGCTGTAACTATCAATCAATTTTTTTTTTTTTACATTTCCTGTGTCATCGCCTGAATCATAGCGTATACGCAGGGTTACATGTCTAGGTCTCCAGAGAGCACCATCTATCGACATTCAATTTCATCAAGCAATTGTGGGACAAGGGATTGTGGTACAAGATGACAACTTTATTGGGGGGTCTGCGCAAAATGTCAAAGCCTCAGTCTGACGGCCTCTTACTGAAGATTTTATATGTTATTTTCTATATTACCGGTAAGGCCACAGCGACTTAATTTTATGAATGACATCCGCGCGCGCATTAGTTTTCACCTGTTCTCAAAAAAAAAAAAATAAAAATCTTTGATGATGAGTCTTCACAGATCGGTTGTCTGCCCGGAATATGCCGACTCGTATTGTCCCAAAAGCGCTGACTTGTTGTAAAACTCGTTTTGAACTACCTCAAAACATGCCAATTTTGTCGTAAATGATTCCAACATGGCGACCACGCCAACCAAAATACGTGAGCATAAAAGTTCAGAGGAAAAACAGAGGGATTGTTGTAGACTGGTACGCAATTGACGTCTGTCACGGAGATGTGACGTTTACACAGCTATACGAGAGATTGGTAGCGGCTAAGCGTGTTTTGTCCAGACAACTTTAAGGACATATAGTCCAGAGTGGCTGTCCCGTGTTTCTTCTGCAACGAGGAGAGAAATTGGAGAGGAGTGGAGGTGTATGGTGGCCTAAAAGTTGGTCAGGCGACAAGTCAGTTCGGTTGCTTTGTTCGCATTGAAGTCGACAAAACTGCAACGAAAGCAGAGGAAGCTCTTCGGCCGAAGTCCGCGTTCGAGGTGAAGAAAATTTTCTTATTTTTTTTTTCATTTTCTGATTCGGATAATTTGCTTGCACACACAGTGCAATGTTTCGTTAGTTATTGTCATAAAGTAGTGATACTTTTTTTTATTAGACGCATAAAATCCTTAGGAAAGGATAAAAAGGGTCTTACAGAAAGAAATAAAAAAAAAAAAAAACTGGCCTGGCCTTGACTTGTACTGAAAATGGTGTTCATGTTGTACCTTGAATGAAGTGTTTCTGACTGAAGATACTTCATCATGACTACATGTACTAGAGCTTGTCTGAAATGGTTATACCTGTGACAGTAATACAGTACGAGATGTGTACATCAACATGTGCCTCCTACAAATAAAGACTTCTTGTTTTTTTTGATACACTCTGTTCTGTGGTTCAATTCGTAATACCAGCTCCGTAGTCCTGTGGTTTTAGCAGGATTTTTTTTTTGGCAGTTTTTTTTTTTTTTTTTTCGCCCTCTCGCATTAGTTTTGGGGTCTCCAGAGGATGTCATCCATAAAATTAAATCAGTGTGGCCTAATGTGCATTACAATTTTTTTTCCTACCGCATGGCTGATTTCAACAAATTGATGACTTTTCGATCCATATTTTTTACTTCGCATTCCAAGACATTAGCGTTGTTTCGGGTTACTTTGCCCATGCAATTGGGTCTAAAACAATATTTTGGTAAGATTTGGTCATATTTATGTTAAAAATGTTCAAAATCACAGCTATTACCACTTTAATGGGCAATTAGTATGTACAGTTTGGAGCCAATAACCAATCAGCACTTGTATACCATAAACATAAAACATTTGTAGGATTAAATCATAACTTTCTAAAAATGTAAATATCTATTCCATCATTATACACATCACTTTGTTCAATCATTTTCTCACTTATTTTGAATTTATAATCAAATTTTTGAACAATAATTTTCATTCAAGACTTTCAAGTTACCTGTAGCGTCCTGTATCTTAAATAACATTTTTTTGAATCGGCTTCTAAACCATTCTCACCAACAAACTTGTAAATTTTTCTATTAGACCAGTCTATTATGGTACAGGGGTGAACATTACAAAGATGTGCTTTATTTTTTTGAAATAATTTTTTTTTATACATAAACTGATCAGATGTTCAAGATTCAGTTTAAGTGAAATGACTGGAAAGGCTAACTGAATATTCAACCAAAATAGCAGAATTTTTAAAAATTTACATAAAGCTATATATTTTATGTATTGTGCTATAACTCAAATAACAAAATTGTGGCCAATTCATAAGAGTGAGGGGGTCATCTGTAGAGGCATAAGAAATGGTCTTTTTCAGAACTCAACAGTAAGTGAATGAATCAAACAGCTCAGATTTGTGATTTGTGATATGTGAATAAACTTATGGAAAACTGCTTTAATTTCGCAGGGGACAATTTCTGTAAATTTTGTGAGTTGGTGACTTTCAAAAATCATCAAATCATGAAAATTTAATTGTTTACTGTATTTAAAATATGAGTATTATTTAATATTTAAACTAGAAGTGTTTGACAGTAACTTTTTGAGCTGGTAAACTTTGCTGGATTCATTACAATATTTTTAACATATTTGATATATTTTCAAGAAAAAAAGAATTAATGTTACTGCGAATGATTGTCTAATTTTTATGGCAATAACAAATTCCAAATAATATAGACATTTTACGAGCCATAACAAAATTTGTCGCAGTTCTATTTTGTGTTAAAAGTGAACATAACACATCATATTGTAAATACTAACATAACAAAATTCACAGATTTTCAGAAACAAAGATTAATATACACTGGTAAAATATATTAATAAACAGATTTCTACAATTTACAGACAGTCAATAACACAACAGATATTTACAGAAATAAATCGCAGTGGAATGTGTACAAACGTTAAAGCCACAACATTATACATGCACAGATAAGGGTAACAAATGCTTACATTTCAAAAATTACAAAACCACAAATTGTACATTTTGGTGATGATTCAGCAGCACTACACAATGATATCTCCTTTTCTCTCCTCTTTACAAAAGATTCAGTTGCTAGCAATAGTGAGTTCATATTTCTGTACAAAAATGTATAAAATAAAATTTCCATACTGATTGGTGTTCAATGATTGCTTAAAAGAAACACTACAAGCAGGACTGTACAATAAGCTCACAGGAAAAAAATGCTAATTTCAGCCTCACCTATTTAATAGAAATGTTCTCATTTCAAGGACTTCACTACTCTTAACACATCAACTGCATCGATAGCCATGAATTGATGATTTCTAATGTACCTATAAACAAGCTCCAGCGAGTGATGTGTTAAATATGGGATAACATTGATAGAAGAAGGATTCCAATCAGGAGACATGATAGTAATGTGCAATACACCTCCTGTACACCAAGTCTTGTGTTACATTTTGTATCTCAGCGACTAAAAAAATTATGTTTAAGCACATCTTGATTGTAAAGTCTAAATTTACATCATTTTTAGAATGGCAGCCTCCCTCACAACCACATCTTAAATATGTAAATGATAAATAGGCATGGCAACTTCTTCAAAATGACAATACTAGTTTGCTGTTATAGATCTGTAATTTCAGATTTTACACATGGACACCAACAGCACCATATACAATAATATGTCTATAATATTCACATTTCAATGGCATCAAACATGTTCTGTATAAGTCATTCATCAAGTTAGGCACTCTGTTGACTCAAATGAGAATAAAATATTGGAAAAATGAACAAACACATGCATGCAAAGCTGGTGCCTGTTAAACATTTTGACATATCGTACAGATACTGATTGCTCTGGGAAACCAATCATGAAATATTCTATCTACAGAATGTACAGGGTAGGAAATACTGAATGAAATCTATGGACTTGATGGACTTTTCTTTGATCTTGGTGGAGCGACGGGTATAGACCCTTGAAATATAGCTGAATCGAGTGCAGGCATAACTTTGGGTCTAGATGGGAGTGGAGGGGGAGCACTACCTGTCAAAGGTGGAGGGGTTGCTGGAGACCCTGTGGATACTGGACTGACAGACTGTGGTGTCAGCATGGTGGGGGAAACAGTGGGTAGCAATGGTGGTGGTAACACACCCACAGTGGCTGGAGATTCAGTTCCACTATTTGAACTAAAGGAATCATTATCATCAAACTTGATCCAATCAGATTTTTCAGTTCCTTGACTGGTCGATGTGAGAGGTCGGTTTGGTCTGGATTGTGGCAATGGTGGTGGTGGCAGACTTGGTGAGTCTGTTGTGGTTTCCTGCAATACACTAATAGGTTTCATAGGTCTGGATGATGGCACTGGAGGCTGTGTTCCCTGCACAGCTACGCTTAAAGGCCTCCCAGGTCGGCTTTGTGGTACTGGTGGATTAGCAGAAAGTTCCTCAACAGCCACAGTCAGTGGTCTGATTGGTCTTGTTTGCGGTACAGCTGGAGGGGGTGTACTTCCTCTTTCAGTGTTCCCATTAACAGGTGTGAGTGGTCGGTTCGGTCGCCCAACAGGCACGGGCGGTGGTGTCTGTCTGTCTTCAACATTATTCACAGCAATTGCTTCTGGGAGAGTACGAGATGGGCGACTTGCAGGCACTGGTGGGGCCGACCGCACTGGTTTGGATCTTGGTGCAGGTTGCGGTATACATGGTTGTGGTAGGGAATCAGATTTTTGTTGGACGTGTATTGGATCCATCACTGTACTTGCCAAGTCACCATCACTGTGAACTGGATGAACTGGTTGTGGGGTGGTGTCCATCACTGGCAGATCACTGGTGCTGTTATTCTTTGGTAGTGTAGTTTCAGGTGACATTTTCTGCGGCTCGGTTGGAACATGCATCCCAAAGTCAATCAGCAACTGCAAAGCCTCATCTTCGTTTGCAGCATGACCAGAGTGTGCCACACCATAAGGATTACTGATTCTTGATGGCTGCAAAATATAAACAGAGAACAGATTGTAAAGTCCATTCTGATTGGCTAACACCATCAAATTCTTATATTTCGAACCAATAGTATATAGTATAATAGTAAATTATAATGAATGTGTAAAGTTTGGTTTGATCCAGTCCTGGAATGGAATGCCGTATAGATCATGAAATGAATGATGTGCGTGTGTATCCTATACTATAGGTTGAACATTCAGGCATGTCCAAGCAGACACACGAATGAAGTGAAATGAGGGCAAGCAATTACATACTTACTCTATAAACAGCAGCTTTAGGTTTAGTGTTAGGAACAGCGGGAGCTGTATTTGTGGCAGTGACGGCTGGTTTCTGTGCTGTCATCATAGGCGCACCAATCGGTAGGGGGACCACCACCAGGGATTTTACTTGGAGGTGGAGGTCTCTGTGGTGGCGGCGGTCTACTCGGTGGTACCTTCTTTTCTGCAGGTCTGGATTCAGGTGTGGGTGATGACGTCAAGAAATGTGGTGTTGATGGTCGCGAGTTTGTTGGTGTCACTACTTCAGGTGCCAATGGCTGGGGTAGCAACTGTGGTGAAGATGCTACCTCCCCATCCTCAAGTTCATCATCAATATCTTCTATTTCTTCATCTGAAATCAACAGCTCTGGTAAATTAATTTCTTGAGAAGTGTTACGGATATGATTAAAAATGAAACCTGAAGCATTGTCATTCACCAAGGTTCAAATGTGCTTTTTTTTTATGATCATATTGGACTACTTTCACATTTTAATGCTGAACTTTTGTATTGCACTATTTTCACATTACACTATTTTCATGTTTGCACTAATTTTATTTTCCAACACTTTTGTTTTTTTACTATTTTCATTTTTACACTAATTTCATGTTTGCACTACTTTTAAGATCCACTATTTCCATATTTGGACTAGTTTCATATTTCATTAACTTTCACCATCAGATTAACCTCTACATTTACATAATCCAAAATGTTAACTTTGACATATTTTCCCATGCCAACATAGATAAGGTGATTCTATTGCAGTCAGTTATATTCAAAGATGTCTGGGAAACCACACTGTTGTACATAAGTACTGATAATACAGACACTGGACCTGAAATATACAATTTCTCAATATATTTAATTACAACTTACCTTCTATATCAAAGCTCATTGATGGTATATCAAAACTTTCACCGAGTAAATCATTGGCAGTTGGATTGTACAGCCTTTCAGTGTTACTACTACAAAGCGTCAGTTCATTTTCTAATATTTCCAACCAATTCTCGCTAAGTAGTTTGACAGATAGAGTATTACCATTTGCCTATAAACGTACAAGATATAACATGAAATCTGATTGGTTAACCAGAATATGGCAATATAAGTTTAAATTACGTGAGAAAAGAAATGAATAAGATCTATGATGTCATATTTACCTCCATGTTGTCAAATTTCAGTGCAGACAGGGCATCCCTGCCATTTTGAAATGTTAACAGCATGTTATTATCGACAAACCTAGAATTAAGAAATAGAAAATATATATGTATATACTATATTTTAACTGCAAATTATTCTCTGCCACAGCAGATGTTGCCATGGCAATACTCTAGTACTACTACTCACAAATTCAATAATACACCATATCATCTATTTGTGGTACTGACTCCTCCAGTTGTTTGGCGCCCTCTTTGGTTTTTATTTCAAAACTTACCTCACTAATATGATTACTCCAACTTTCTCAAGAGTACTCAAAACTATATCCACCATCTCATCACTAAACTCCTCTTCTCCTACTGATGATGTTGCCATGGAAACCACAACTGTTGCATCCGGTGGACCCTGACGATGAATGACATCTTCGTAAACTTGTTGTCTGCTCTCTTCGTCGACGTGCTGGATTTCCACTTCAAGAATTCCAATCACGGGTCTGTTTGAAAATGTACAAATTGTACTTAATTATCCACAGTGGCTTTAAACCTTTTCACCACCAGTTCCTTCTTTTCATCATAAATTCACAAAAAAGTCCTGTTTCTAGTCTTCCTTCAGAAGATTGGGACAAAAATAGTCAAGTAAACACTGAAAATTTACTAAAATTTTGTCTGATGGTTCCAAAATTAGGGTGCAATTCTAGAAATATTGAAGAATATAAAGAAAAAAAAGTGCAGAAAAATTTAGGCGAGACAGTCTAGTGATGAAAAGGTCACAGTCACATTGTGATTTCATTTGTTTACATTTCTGCCAACTGGCATGAGAATACAATAACAAATGTCGCTATATCGCTGATCAGTAAGAACTATTACGACAAAATGGTGAAAAACTGACCTGTGATCGGATGTTTTAAGTTCTGCTCTGCCGTAGTGTAAGATTCTGCCAGGATCCCAATCATCGTCTTCATCATTCTCAGTTGCTATGGAAACAAATTATAACATGCCATTTTTAAAATCTGGGTTTTAAAAAGCACTCTAAACATTTTGCTAGGTACTGATCTAAAAATAGCAGTTTGTGACTATTTGACAAAATAAATATGGTGATGGAGTTTCATGTTACCTACAACTTCATGATTGTACATACTATGGTACTAAACTAAAGCCAGCATTGACATTGACAAATCATTTTTAATTTGAAACCAAACAGACATTGTAGAACTGATTGTCAATTCCAATCCCTTATAGGTCAAATAAAAGTAGTATCTCACGTGGTTTCCTTCTCCTACTCCTCCGCCACAACACCCGATCAGTCCAAGCAGGCGTTCGCATTTTCTCACTCGTGTCATAGTCATCGGAAAATAAATCATATTTATAAGTTGGAGCAAATTTGATATCACCCTCACTGAAACCATTAAATACCTACAAAATAATGGAGCAGTCCATATATAAATTGTAGTGATATGATCAGTGATTGGTTAGCAAATGTCACATGATAATATTTTTCCCACTGGATTCTAATTTTGAAATTCAAATTTACCTGTCCATCTTTCCGTTGTTGGATGAGTTGGTCATAATGCTTTAAAGCGTTCCAATTCTTATCTGCTACAAGTTGTTTTACTTCATCATTCGGTAAGTCAATTCTGTAATTAAAATCTCCACACCAGAATATGTAGTCATGCGAGTAAAGAAACCGTCCCTGCATTGAAAGAGAAACAAAACATCTCAACAAATGTATTGTCATAGAAACCATACAGTAGAATTTTCAACACTTCAGCAAAGTAAAAGTCTACTTCTGTTATTGCTCAGAAAAAAAAAAGCTGCATAATTTAGTTTTTTTTCAAAAACAAACAAAATGTTGCACCAAAGTTCCATCAGCAAACAGGGATTTGAACCACTGTGGCAATGAAAAATTGACATGTTAATTTGCATAACATTTGCATATTATTTGCATAATTATTCTAAACAAAATGTTGCACCAAAGTTTAATCAGCAAACAGAGATTTGAACTACTGTGGCAATAACAAATTTACATGTTAATTTGCATAACATTTGCATATTATTTGCATAATTATTCTAAACAGAATGTTGCACTAAAGTTTCATCAGCAAACAGATTTGAACCACTGTGGCAATGAAAAATAGACATGTTAATTTGCATAACATTTGCATAATTTTTCTAAACAAAATGTTGCACCATAGTTCCATCTGCAAACAGAGATTTGAACCACTGTAGCAATAAAAAATAGACATGTTAATTTGCATAACATTTGCATATTATTTGCATAATTATTCTAAACAGAATTTGTAATGATTTAATCAAAATACACCCACACAACTCCTATTACATCAACAGTGATACAAGAAGCAAGATACATGCCATTGGAAAGAGTATTTTCTTGGAAATTTCTTGGTAATCTTCATTTCGTTCCTTGACCTGTGATTGACCCGCTGCTAAATGCGCACAGATAAAACACATAGACGTACTGTGGAATATCATGCGAATTGCAACACCACCTTTATTTCCGGCAGTGCCTTTTAAGCCAGTTTTGACCATGTCAATTGCCACGTCCCTATATAAAGAGAGAAATGGTTGTAAAATGGAGGTGAAGAGTATGAGACACCATTTTGAAGTATGTAAGACTTAAAGTTGAGATAACAAGCCATGCATGGCATAGTCCCTGTTAGTTATCAAATTTAAGATATAGTAATATATACCGTAGTAATATAGTTGGAACATGTCAGTGACATGGATCCAGAAACTGATGCTTGATTTTGATTTTTCAACATTAAAATGACAGACATTCAGTCATCTTGTAACTGATCATTAAACAATTACATTGAGAGATATTGCTCTGGAACAGCATTAATTAAAACAAAATGTCCACTGATCGACCATTTTGAATTGGATAGTCAAAACAATACATCTGTATATCAATGACATGATGTATAATGAATACACAAAATTTGAACATTCATTATCTGATCTGAAAAACAAAAAGAAATGCATCAGGGACCCATAATGTCTAATGTATGTACCAAGTTTGAACAAAATCCATCCATAAAAGACTGAGATTCGGTTCTGGAATGCCAGAAATGCTTGATTTTTTGATAATTTTTTAGCACAATAATGGCCACCATGTGGCAATTTTGAATCAGATCAACTAACCAATTCATTTGTATATCCATGACATGATGTATAATGAGAATATATAAAATTTGAACATAATCAAAGCATGTCACAACAGCTTTTAATTAAAACAAAATAGCCACCAGTTAGCCATTTTGAATCCGATTTGAAAAACAAAATGAAATGCATCATGGTCCCATACTATCCAATGTATGTACGAAGTTTGAACAAAATCCTTCTGTAAACATCTAAGATCTGGTTCCGGAATGCCAGAAATGCTATATTACGATGATTTTTCAGCACAAAAACAGTTATTTTGAATCAGATTATCAAACCAATACAGTTATATATCTATTCAAACTATGGCCCCCTCCCCATATGAGTGACAACTAAAGCGTTATTTAGGCAGGATTTTGTGTACTATAAAAATTCAAATTTGAAATCACACAACTTTCAAGATGATAACAAAATTATAATAAAAATCAAGTTTAAGTCCAATTTGCTGATAAAAACTAGAACGAGGCTTGGAAGCTCACAGAGCAAATGATGCATACCTTATGTATGGTGCATGACGTGGTCTTACGAATATATAAAGGCACACTCCAACCAGCTGTTCTGACGCAACTAAGATGTACTTGTTATCTCTGGACAAAGTTTTCTGTAACTCCGCTCCCCATTGTTTTTGATTTGTGGTACTGAAAGAGAAAACAGGAACATAGATATTTAAAAGCAGAACATTGCAATACGCTCACTCACTGTTTGTTTGTTTACACAAATTCAATTCATAATAAATTTAATTTACACATCATCAATTACACACTTTGTTTTTAAAATTTACTGCTACATATTTTATTTCAAGATGTCTTTTTATGCTCTATATTTTTGTGAAAAAGACATATATTTCCACTGCTCAAAAAATTCACCTTATAGAGGGCGCTATTTATTCCCTCACATAGAAAAATTTGCCGAGCATGATAGAGGGCGCTATTTTTGTCCAAAGGTCGAATATTCACCTGGCACTTATGATATTACCCGCACTGAGATCGACCATCTCTTCAAATCCAATAGCGTAGATATCAACTGGAGTACTAAAATCCGTTCTGGTGTTCACACTTTCTGAGAATTATAACGGAGAAAAAAATCATGGTATCATTACCGGTTAGCACAGTCAGCCATCTATGTTAACCATCATAAGCTCAAATGATAGAGGTGTGTCCAAAATGAGTCACATCATAATTACCATATTTGATCTATTAGAATCGCATCAACAATAAAAGCACATTATAGATGGAAAATTGCAATTGTTGTTCACTGAAATAATAACCTTTTTTGACCATTCACGTTCCTGTATCATATATATAAGTACGTGCTCTACTAATAGAGCAAATTCAATTTTTGGTTTATGTACGCGTCTTATAGAGAATGCACTGCAAATACAATATAATATAAACTTGGAAATTTGATGACTAATAACCACATTTAGAGACACTAAACTCACACAAGTCATTGCTAAGAAGTTTTCTGATTTTCGCCAACCTGTCAAATTCATGAAAAGTTATAGCTAGCAGAATTGACACTAATAACAATAATGACTCCTATATGTGAGCTAGTAACACAGCTTGTTTTATCTACTGTAGAATACTTTATTTGTACTTGGAATTAAATTTTGCTATTTTCGCTGAAAGAATGATTCAGTGAAAATAAAATCCAGCAAATATAATGTTGTTCCTATATTTTACATTCAACTTGTCAAAAATCTGTGAAAATTAATTCCACACAAAACACCCAAAAAGTCTATTCAGCGAAAATTAATTACAGCTAAAAATAAAGTATTTTACAGTATATTAGAAAGACATTTTATACTGAAATAAAAATGATGATAAAGTGAAAAAAAAAAAAAATACTCACCTGGATCTTGGGCCGCCATTATCTGAGGATTGTCCAACAACCAATCAGACATAGACTGGTGTTTGAAGGCGATACTGCGGAAATGTTTACCACCGTTGACATTCCATGTTCCTATGGCAACCCGTAATTTGGAACTGAATGTGTACTCCTCTTGTCTCATCACCATGGTTTGTAAAATACCAGGAGACGCTAAAAAATAGACAATTGATTATCATTTAAGAGTTGAAGCAAATACTTTATCTATTTACCTTTTCAGGAAAGTCATTTTTGCCATATGTAAATGAGTTATTAGACAAGCTCTATCAGTGACAGAGGGACTGTGAACAAACTAAAGTTGATTCAACTCTACTCATTATCATATAATTAGCATATTATTGCAATATAATTATCACACACTTAGCATGTGAGTGCAACTTGCCAACAGTGGATTGTGAAACGTTTACCTTGTTAGGTATCTCACAAAAAAGTCTCATCTAATTTTTAAAACTTATTTTCATTCTTTTTATATATACTTTCTATTTGGTATGACAATCTGTATAAATGTAAACAAAACACCCTACCCAACTCCAGTTGTCCAACCCCCCCCCTTTCATTTCCAAAAACAATATTTGCCTGAGGTTCAATACTTAAATTCCACACATCAATGTTTTTTCCAGAAACAGTGCACGGAAGACACAATTTGGGTATATTTATTGTTTTCTGTGCCAGTGGAAACGTGGTAAGTATGTACAAGTGTCAATATTTAACATTAATCGATTATTTGAGAAAAGACATTAAAGTAAAAACACAATTACCAAAATAATGTGAAATTATTGATATGTAAACAAACAATCGATTGTAAAGTGAAAATATACTTTAAAAAAAAAGAAAAAGATTCAACATTGAGCATAACAATTTAAAAGAAGAATTTGAAGCAGTGTACATAGACAAACTATTACCAGTGATGAATAATATCATACTGTACCTAAAACTTTGTATTTCAGTTATTGTGGGGAAAAGACCATGAAACATGTACAAGTACGTAGAACATAAAAAACAAAAACAGAAGACATCAAGCAAAACCTCAAGCATTCTTATTAGTATGGGATTATTAGTATTTGTTTAAAAACAAAAACCAATGGCAATTATTATTTTTTTTTTTCTCACATAAAAATATTCTCAAATTCCACCACTAGAGGGAGATATACAACATATGAAATCAGTTGGACATGTGATACACGCTTTGAGATGAAGCGATGAAAGCTGCAGGTCCTTGATATTCTCATGAATTCAGAATTGTAACACATCCTCACCTATCTCTTCTGAAATATATTGCCACAGCATGACAGAAATGGAAATATGAAAGTTAAAGTGAGAGTTGACAGGTGAAGAAACAGAAATCACATTCAGTGTATTCTAGAGTATAGTAAAGAACTATGTCATCATTTTAAGACTACACAGTGAGACAGGGATTACAAACACACTTTGTTTAACTCGGTGAAACTAACATAAATATACTATTACACTTCAAAAACAAGCAAACTGACAAACCAATATTCAACTACTCTAAATCTACTTGGTATTATGACATCAATTTAGAAAACCTTTCCTTGTGTTTTATTTCATGTGATGATGTAGTTATATTACGTGATAAATGTTTTTTGTTTTATCACAATTAGAAACTGTCACATGCTGAATCTACTAGACTCTTAATATCTGTTACAAACCACAACAATATTACAAATCAATTTGCAACATGCAATCTACGTTTGGATTTTTCACAGGTCTCCCTCCAACGTCACAGCTATCACGCATTTTATTTCAATTTCAAGATTGCAATGAACTTTTCTCCTAAGACAAGAGCTTACAGCAAAGCACAACAGCATGGAGTTCTTTTTATTTAAATTATGGCAATTTTCCAGGCAAGGATACAACATGTAACAGCCCAACCTAGTCAAGGAATTGACACACAGACTTCAATCGGTTGGGCCCAGAAAGAAAAGACTTCTCAGACCGGTTAATCAAATTTACAAACCTTATGCGAGTGTGGCTTTTTTTTATGTTTTGTTTTTTAATAATAAAATTGTCACTAAAATGACATTTTAAAATGAAAACCGAAAAACAAGCTGTGACATTTACATGTACTTTCTTGACTGATACATACAGTAACTGGGAACAAAAATATCTCTTCCATGCTGTGTATGTTGCTATGAGTCCCATATCAAACAAGATGTGGAGCAACGACAATCGCCGACTCAGAGAACAGCAGGTAAGCATACACCTAGTCATCGCAAGTAGATCTTGCATGTATTTTACAGTGTTATTACAGTGACTGGGCTTCATATAAACTTGCTTATTCTCTACTTACCGTGCAACTGATTCTTGGCAAGCAATGCTCGGGCTTTGTCAGCCCGTTCTCCATTAAGTGTGTTGCCTAGCACCAAAATATCAATAGCTTCTTGCTTACTACCATCAAAGAAATTATTCTGTATAGTTCGTGTGACCGATCTAGCACCGTCTCGTAGTTTACCGGCCTGCATTGAAGATACGATTACAAGTACAGTATGTTATTTGAAATCAGACTGGGTGGAGTTTCCAAACCTTCACCGTGATTCTATAATATCAATCTGTAATTTCTTCAAGTTAGAACACATATTTGTAGATTATCTGTATGAACAGAGACAGTTTGAAAAAGCCACACTCGTTATGCAGCTTGTGTTTGAATTACATGTAAAACAAAGATAAGCAACTTATAACCATGTGAGGTGACAAAAAGCAAACTCTCATGCTTAAAATAATCCTGCTCCCTGCATATCATTAGAACATAGTTATAACCAATAGTGTCTCATGGAAAATCAAAATTTCTCTTAAGCAAAATCAAAATGTATCTCAAGATTTCTCTCAGGTGTTCTAGACACCAACAGCAACAAAGCATTGAAAAGACCAAAAAACAGTGTTCTCATACTTACCGTTGTCTTCCCCTCCAGAGCACCAGTTCCTGCATAAATTCTACTGACGTGATCACCATTTAATCCCCATATAGTCTTGTAAAACTCAAAAAATCTTGATTTGACGAGTGGCTTGTCCATCAGACCCATGCACTCCAACTGTTTAGGAAGCATCTAGTGCATAGAAAAAATCGTAAATTCTCTTAAATCATCTTGAACATGACTTGGATGTCACATTGTTGTCTTTAGCAGATTTGCATAATTTCTACAAAGCTCAAATGGAACGACGTTGTGTGTGTGAAATTCTCACTAAACCTACCGATGCTAGATCATATCAACTGTCTAACATCCCCCCAAAAATAACAAATTTTTATTTTAATAATTGGCACTCTTAGAACATTTTTTTTTTACTACTGTACTTATCCGGGTAAGAGCCCATGCCTGGACAAACGCCCACCCCCCCCACTTCTGACACAATAAAGAAGTTGAGGTCATATCCGGGCACACGCCCAGGGGGTCTTTTTCTACACCAAAAAAAAAAACTATTTTCTATTCGTTGACTGTGGTTGTATTAACAGTTGACTTTCTTGAAGTCTGTCGTGATACTTTTTAATTGCGTAAAACAAGGGGTGAACGCAAAATAGCTGTGACAGCTTTCTGCCTTCAGGGCAGCGCGTTCACCGCTGATTTTTTTCAGAATCATAACAGTCAGCAAGTCTATAAAAATAAATATTAAAGCAGAAACGGTAGTTCTCTTTTTGAAATAAGTCTTGGCCCTAAAAGGGGCCGGCCGTCTGGTGTGTGCTTGCTTAGAAACGATTCAAACAAATCGTATAAGGAGAGCCGCTAAGCAAGTGTCGCACTCGTTCGGCTTTAGCGTCGTCGACAATGAAAACAAAGTTGCAATATTGTAGCAACCCGTACCTGGGAGAATGGTTGAAATCACGTTATTCTGGCTTTATAAATATTTTGTAGCAGCTTGCGAATCCATAACTGGGGCCAGCAATTTTGTAATGTCACGCCGAAGACTGCCAACTTTTACCATCTTTTATCACCGCTATTACATTTCTGTCATGAAAACTATTCTTCTGTCGTTGGATAAAAAAAAAACTTCCTATTTCAAGTCCACCGCGATATCCATATAGTGAGACATTCCAACCGCCGGAACTTGCTGAATGATAACTTTCACCGTGATTAATAAGCGTCGAATCTGATAAGAAAGCAATGTCACGATTTGACCTTTATGATGTCATTCTTAGCCAATCAGTAAAGCAGATGCATAAAGGTCAAAGATCGATTGCTAGACTGTAAACAAAAGCAT